TTGTAGAACTGTAGATGCAGTCAATGATGAATGTACATGGTGAACAGATTTAGTAATGAGTCAGGATATTGACTCATGAATTTAATTTCCATTATTACCAGACACCTCACACACACACACACACACACACACACACACACACACATCCTCACATTTCTAAATTTATGATTTTTAATTACAAGAAGAAAATTTAATTCAAGAGAAGAATTTGCTTTGGTCTTAAGAATTCTAACATCTTTGGTTTATGGAGTGAATTGCATTTCTTCCTGTCAAACTATAGCAAAATTGACTTTGTTGCAAGCAATATTCTACTACAAAATTTTTAATATAACTGGAAAATCAAAAAGGGCAATGAAGGGGCAGGTTCTGTGCCTCAATGTCATATGCAATGTTCGAAAACCAATGCTACCTCAGTAAATAAGAACAGTGATAAAAAATCCCCTTTTAGTAAAATGAAAAAAAAAAAAAGTCAGGGACACTGAGCATAAAAGTACTTAGTTTGTATAGGTCAATCTGCAAGGAATAAAATTTGGTGTGAAATTGATCTCCTTATTTCATGATCTTTGAGATGATATGTTAATTCTACAATGAAATATCTGTTTAAATTAGAAACTCCATAGGTAGTGTATTAAACGTAGTGATCGACCTTAAGAAAACAGCATCTTAAAGAACAAAGGCATCAAGCTGGACTTTGAATTTCTGCTATAGAAGCTCAGAGTGAAAGTGCATACATACACACACACACACACTTTGCCACGATGAGTAAAGCAGTGAGGTAAACATTAAGAACCCCAAGGAAAGCCAAAGGATAGAAATATTAGACTGGTCTTAAAGTCATGAATCTGTATCAGAATCAATAACCCATCTGATGCCCATGAGGGCTTCACTTCTACGCGCTTTGGAGACAGTGGCAGCTGGTGGTCCTGTCCTGTTTCTGCTTCTGCCGCAGGAACAGCCGGGCAAGCCTGCAAGAGTGAGCCACAGCCCACTTTAGTGTGGAAGCGACACGCTGCCCAAGGTGGCTGTTGTGTTTCAGCGAACAGTTCCAGACAAGTGTTCACTCTCCAAGCGATGACCTCTCCTGCCCAGACAGAACACAGCATGGCGCACGGAACTGAGCTACCTGGATTATGGGTAAATAAACCTCCATTGAGAGGGGAGGGATGCTCAGTGTTGTCTCAGTCCTAGACCCAAATGGAAGTCACGTGATGACTCAACAGAACTCACTAAGCCAGGCTCTACCAACTTGCATATCTTTTTGTGTCTAAACCCTACAACTGCCCAGAACCCCACGCCCTGAGAAACGACTTGGGCGCCTTTCCTTGAAGTTCCTACAGGAGCACCTTAAACCAAACTGCTTCTTTCTCAAAGGCTGTGGCAAGGTTATCGGCTTCTGTGCACTGGGTGGAGGGACCATGTTTAGCAACAACTGCACAAGACCAAAAGGAGCTGTCATGAGAGGGGAAACCGGGAAGCGCGTCCCTAAAAGGCTATTTCTCTGCGCATGTGCGTGTGTGTGGTTCATGTGTCCTGGGCTGATAGAATGGGCAGTTGATGGAGTTTTTCTGAAAAAATCATCTGGAAGGGAACATGATGTATTTGATTGAAACGAGGTAAAGTGCCTTTTTGAGAGCACCTTTACTAGAAAGTCCACTTGCTTCGGAAAACCGGTCCAGAATTATAGGAGATGAAGGCGGTGTATTAGAAAAGATGCGATGCTTTGGATGAGGAGCCGAGAAATAAGGGTGAACTGGGATCCTGTTATCTCACTGCCCCCAAAACTGATAAAATCCCAACGTATAGCTAGTACTCAGAAAACGTTTTAAAAACAGTAAAAGGACAAAGCCTCTCAAGGGTTATTCAGCTGTTTTGCTGTTGTTGATTCCTTTCTATCACAAAAAAAATGTATTTAAAAACTCAAATGGAAGTGAAAAAACAATGAAATTCATCTCAGTAATTTCCTAGTCCTGTAAGATTTATAGGAACCGTTTCCTGGAATATTTTATTTTCGTTTCTTCCCTTTTTCACAGATTAAGCAATATAGATCTATAATGCATTGATGCAATCAATTGCTTCTTAAAATTCTTTGTCAGTGGCATTTATTAATCATCATAATAGTATTTATAAATTTAAAATTCTAACCAAGCAGACTCCCTTAATATTTGTGACTTATGTGATATTATCTCACTTACACTAAGACACTTGCAATGATTTAGTACAGACAGAGTTTGCCAAAGAGAGAAGCCGGTAGAGTAGATGGCTTATAATCACCACCCTCATCACCCTCAGTCGGAAAGTGTGATTCAGGTCTATTTGCACAAGCTGCTTTGCTGGGCACTTCTTCAAACACCTTATCCAGAGAATAAATCAGCAGCTGGCTGACAACAGTGTTCCCGAAAACAATCAAATTTTAAAATAATATTGAAATATATGGTTCGGTAAGAAAAATGTTTGCCTTAAAAACCCAGATATTATGGGAAGTCAATGCAGACATTCAAGATTAAGTTCGCCATAAAAGCATGTACTGAATTTTGAGAGGGACACTTAATGGAGAACTTTTTTCATTCTGAACCGCTTTGCATTCACTAGAAGCGAAAGAGAGCAGGGAGGTTGCTTTTTGAAAAATATCCCATTCATTGAATTCTTACTTATACAGAGTTTTGAATCTGGCAAAGGAGTTCAACGCAGATCTTTCAAGTAACATGTCCGTTTTTAAAGCTCGAGGATTTATTTCCAATTTTTCCCCAAACAAACCCCTTCTTTGCCATCTCAAGTTTTCTATTTCATTGTGTCAAATAGCCAAACTCAAAATAGAAAGGAAATAGCAGGGATTTGTCAGGACACTAAATACTGGCCCCGATTCTGTGCTTCGGAATCTTAATGGGAAAAAGTGGTGGAGTGGACTAGGCATGCCCTTGCCATCCAGTCTTGCTGTCAGGCCAGCTGTGGGTCAGCCCCAGCCGTGACCGGACCCTGCATAACGCATGGCCTTGCTTTCCTCTTGGGAAGGGATCATTATGCATCCTTCATAGGTGCATTAGTGCTTCCCGAGAATGATAAAACCCGAAGATAACACCACTGGATAGGAGACACATGGGCTGCGCTTACTAGGACGAATCGCTCGCCTCAGAGCGCCCAGCAGACGCCATGACGCGTGTCTGAGCTGACACGCCGGCCGGTCCCCAGGGCAACCGCACGGCAGTCCGCACACGGGCCACTTTCCGAGGAGCCTTTGCACGAGAGAGGCCTGCGTGCGGCCGGTGTGGAGGCGGAAGGCACTGCACGCGAGCGAGGAGCTCTGGCGGGAAGGGCCCCGCAGAGAGAAGGCAGGGTCTTGGTTCTGAGCAGAGAGGGCAGGTGCCTCAGGGCGCCAAGGAACTGGGCTCAAGGGGCCCTGACCTGCGCCCCTCGCTCGGGCGGACGACAGGCGCTCGCGGGTGCTGGCGACTCGGGGCCCAGGGCCGGACCCCGCAGGCCGAGCCAGGAGGGGCCTTCTGCAGCCAGGGAAGACGAGCTGGTCCCCGGCTGGAGGCACCCTTTGCCGTGAGGGCGTTTTTTTATTATTATTATTTGCAAGAGTAATTTCATATTAGCACCATCAGAAGAGCAGCCGCCTCCATTTCATCGAGGCAACGCGTGACGATGTTTAATTCTAAAACCCGCCGGCCGCTGTCTGCTGCCAGCGCCCGCGGGCTGGGCCCAGGCCTGGCGGCCCCGCGGGCCGGCGTGCCAGGAGAAGCGCCTATGTTGTCAGTCATGGGGATCATTGTATCTGTCTCCACAGATAAAATCTGACCTCCTAGATAATCCAGCGGTAAGAGAACGGGCATTTTGACGCGAACACCTTGTCCACACAACAGAGCCTCTGCCTGTGTGCGTGACTTAGGCCACTCACCTCCCAGTCGCCACTGCCCACACCGGTAGCTCATTTGCATGCCTTTGCTGCCTTGTAAAAACCAGAAGCCTAGCTGAAACAGGCTTCTTACTACCCCCATACTTAAAAAATCAAAAATGAAGACTAAGGATTTGTTGGCCTTCTCAAGAAAGAGCACAGTCTGCATGTCTGGCATTTAGTCAGGGCACAGCAGGAATAAGCACTCAAGAAAACGTTGCAAAAGTCTTCCTCAGACACGAACACCATGAATGTGCCAACGACAGAGCCCCTGAGCGCCCAGCAAAGGCCAGGCACAGTCAGCGTATCCCGGAACCGGCTGATAGGAATGAGTTAACTAGTGCGTCCCTCTGCTGTGCAGACTACCGTTTAATCCGGCACCAGCCGCCCAAGCCAGGGACAGACAGGGACAGGCGTCAGCGTGTGTCCATGCTCCACCTCAGCCGTAAGGTGCAGAAGACCAAGCCCCTGAGGATGGGGTGAGCGCAAGCTCTGGAACGAAACCCAGGCTGGAAAGAAGCACCGAGGGGAGAAGGCGACTGTTCAGCCTGGAGCTGACTTTGCTATTCAGTCTATGTTTGAAAAATAATTAGGTAGGAATGTCTGAAGCTTAGGAATGATGGGCAAGATCAGACAAGAGAAAAGGGTTCTTGCACCAGGGTGGTCTCTATGGAAACTGTCAGATGGGCAGGCCTCCCAGAGCCAGCTGCCTTCACAGAGGCTGCGGGTGACCGGGGAGGGTAAGTCCCGGAGATAAGACCTTAACGTTCCCCCAATGTCCTCGGTACATAAGAAGGGCTATCCCGAGACAGCTGGATTTCTCTTGCGACTCTGTCTCCAATTTGAGATAAGAATGCATATTTGTGGGCAGGCCTTTTCTTAAATAAGCCAACTTTTAAATGAATTTTAAGTTTAATTCCAAAATTAAGTTTTAACTACTCAAAACCACTTGGCAGAAATGGACATCACAGCAAACACATATTCCGACCTGCAAAATGCAAATGTCCTATTTTACCACCAGAAGCTCCATGCTTTGTCTTCACTTTGAAGGTGATAAGTAACCCAATTTGCAGAGATAAAAAAAGAAGGTAGCAGAGAAATAAAATACCTGGTCTCAGTGAAGGACAGAATCCAGGATTCTGCAGATTGCTGTTTCTCCTGCAACAGCAAACACTTGGCTTTCTTCTTTAGCTAAAAGAGGAAGAAGGCTAAATTGGCACTGTTGTTATGTCTAGGTTATTCTGGTTAATGGCCATAACAGTTCTTTCTAGAAGATATAACTGTTTTCAGTTTTTGATAATGAAATGGAGGCTGAGATTGCCCAAGGAAATGGTGTGTGATCACAGTTAGCAATGGAAGAGTTTCGATATAAACTTACCTCTATCTTACTATTTTATTCATGCAGCAAGCATTTATTAATCATCTAAAGTAGGCCAGGAACCATACTAGGTAAATACTTCTCCAGTAATCGTTGGAATTTTCTGTGATATCTTCTAAGATAAATCATTTAACCTTTTTCATTGCCAGTTTCACTGTAAGATGTGGATAATTCTATCTCCCCTATGATGTTGAAATAATATACATGAGATTGTTTTATAGAATTATAAAGTGCTGTGCAAACATTAGTTTCAGACAAATAACTGGGTTCATGTTTTTGCATTAGCATAGGCAAATATTTGTGAGTACAGTGAGAAGGATAAAGAAGAGACTTTAGGGAAAGCACTCAACAATTGTAGCTGACCATCTGAGTTGGGTAACAAAATACCAGACTGTGTGGCCTGGAAGCAGCAGAATTGCATTGCTCACATTTTGACAGCTGGGATCAAAATGCTGATATAGCTTGTGTCCAGCGAGAGCCACGGCCATGTGCTTCAATGGCAGGTTTTTCAGTGTCTTCCCCTGATGGGAGGGGCAGGTAGACTGACGTCTTCCATGAGAACACTGGCTCCATGCCTGCCCGCTCAGGCTCCCTGAGCTAGTAAGTCCCCAAAGCCCCCTCTCAACTTTAGCCCTCTGGAGGGGACAGAGCATTCAGGCCCAGCACCACCAATAGCCGGCAAAGCATCTCTAGGTATAGGCTCGCTGGAGGACACAGAGAACAGAGATGCCATGTGTCGGGGGAATAGGTTCTGAAGAGCTGCGGTCACTCCAGCTGGTGGTGCTGAGGATGGATCTTGGCTCAGAGAAGAGTCTGAAATGAGCGAGGTGTTCTGGGATGAGAAAGGCTAATGAAATTCAGCCCCAGAGAAGCATGATCTGAGAGAGATGAGTGCAGACAGGAAGGAGTAGGCCACAGAGACAAGAGAATGCAGCGTAGACACCACCTCGGAGGGCTGAGCAGCAGACACAATGTCCCAGCTACTGTCAGGCCTTCACCTCCCCATGCGGCTGTCCCTATGGTTTGGATGATACAAAACAACTAACATTAAGAAGCCATCGCATATGGAATTCATACTGTGCACGATTTAATTGGGCTTGAGTTTCAAAAATCTAGACCTCCTAAAATGAATGCATTGAGTTTCAGAAGCATTTTCGTTAAGTCACACCGAGCCGTTTTAATTCACCATGTTGAAATTCTTTCAGGAAATATCTAACTTGTACTTTAACCAAGTGAGCATGAATACAGTCTTCGAGACTCAACAGATTATAATAATTTTCTTGTTGACAGGTGAGACATCAAGGTAAGAAGTTACTGCTTTATTTGAGGACGATTTGTCTCATGGAGCTGCAGTAATAGGACATTGTTCCGGAGGAAGGAAATCCCATCGCTGCTCTTATGGGCGGGTGGGTAAAGATGAGGGAAGCAAGCATGTGTAGGGATGAATCCACACATTACTAGTGTAGGCTACCAGTGTAGACTACCGATGAGAAATTAGTCTGTTGCGCTATTTTTGTATACTTGAGTTTCTAAAGTATTTCTTTTGACCCATATGCAATTGATTATATATTAGTGCCATTAAAATGACATATTCTAGTGATATTGGAAATGCTATAGTATCAACATGACTTGATAAAATCAGATGTGAAAGATTGATTCAATAAAACAAAATGGTGGATAAAATCATGTAATCTGTTTACTGATAGGTAGATAAAAATAAATAATGAGTAAGAAGTGAAAGTGTCATGGACCCAATATGTGTGCCTCCCTAAAACGCATTGATTGAGTCCCCCAAATTCCAGCGTGGCTGTATTTGAAGACAGGTATCTCTAAAGAAGGCATTAGGGGTACATGGGGCCATAGGCTGGGACACTGACCTCAATATCAGGTCTTTGCAGCAAACAGCGGAGAGCTCACTCTGCGCCCCTCACGAGCTGAGCAAGTGGCCTCACCAGTCGGTGGCCCGGGATGGGTACTGCGGCCTCCACGCCTGGAAGGAAACGGTTTCTGTCAGGCTCCCAGTCTGCAGTGCTGTTAGGGGAGCATGATATGGTGGCACCGAGACATTGTATGTTGGAACAGAAGTTGTGTTTTCAGGGCTAACGTGTTAGGGCAGATCGGAGTGGGAGTTCATCTCTGGCAAGGCTGACGCTAACAGGCCGCCTTTGCAAAGTGCGGCGCCGTTTCAAACGAAGATCTCTCACCCCTAATTTGGACTGGTTCTGTTTTTGTTGGAAGTCAACCAACAGAAACAGCGCGTTCCCCGGTAGGGAGCGGCTCGCTGGGGAGAGCGCCCACACCTGCCATCATGTCAGCATGGCCGGAGAGCAGGGCCTCTCAGGAGCAGACAGGAAAAGGGAAAATCGATGCTAAGGGCACAGAAAATCAAATGTCAGGAAAATACAGCGGTGGGAGGGAGCAGCAAAAGTACAAATGTTTACTAGTCGAAAAATGGTGTCAAAATGATTTTTAGAACTAAGCGAATACATATTTATGGAGTATCTTATTCTTCCCAACATTCATAAGGAGGAACTTCAGCAAACTCACATAACACAGAAGTCAAGTGGCCTGCAGGCGTCTGGGCCTAAAGTGACAGAAAATAAAACACATTGAATTATGCATGTTCTCACTTAAAATGGAAACAAATATAAAAAATAACTTAATAATTCCCTCACATTCCTCCAACACTACACAATACAGCCACAGTTTGGAATAAACGCCAGGCTCCCACAGGTTAAAAGCATTTTATTTAATTGTGCTGTTTCTTCTGTCAACATCCAGGACCATGTAGATCATGCTCCTTATAGCACTGCTTAAAGCTATAAATATTTTCATTTATCAGTAATTAAAAATTCATTAGCGTCGCCTCCACTACAAGTAGATGGGAAAACAAATTACAAGTATTATAAAATTGTGTTGACATTGTTATTGATGGCCAATATTACAGAAACTGTTTTTACATACAAGTGAAATACTGAAACCTTGACTAAGGAACAATCATCTTATTTTAAATACTTGGCCCATCGGGAATGCTGAATAAAAGCGTGTGGGGCATCCCTGCATTGAATTTTCCGATGCGGGTCTCTGGAGCTTATCTTGAAACATTGCGATTTGAAAACTGTTCTGTCTAAATAAGAAACATTTCTGAGTAGTGAATGTAATGACTTAGAAAGCTCTCATGGTGTCACCTGTCTAAGGTATGATCTGTTTAATGACAACAATCATCTAGAAATGTATAAATGTATAAATTAATTAAACACTTTCTACATAATATATACATATATAACTCACATACTAGCTATATGAATTATGTTTTAGATATAATTTCTAAAATTAAAACAACTTAGAAAATTACATGTAAGTGTATCTCTATGCGAACTTGCTCTAAGAGAGTAAAATGTTGGATTTCCTGTCATGGTAAGGTCTGGGCCCGATTATAACAATAATCAGCACCACAACAGAAACAGCAGCATGTAATGACACCATTAACTCAAGAACCTAAAACAGCAACTACATTAATTATATTCATTATACTTAATTGAACATAATCATCTAACCTAACAATTCTTTGTACACTAATTAATAAAACAGCATGTCTTCTGGATAAAAAATGTATAAAAATAGTCTTTGAGTAGATCATTTCTAGTAAAAACGTGTGAGCCACAGATGTAATGCCCACAGAAGACACTGAATGATACTTCACACTCCAGTTCTAATGCACCTTACCGCTGCCCTCCACTGCCAGGCGTGCGCCTGTGGTGGGCATGATGCTGGCTGGGGGCAGCTTTTTCAGAGGTGCTTTGAGGATCTTTACTGTGCTGTGAACATGTGGTTTTGGAGAAGTTGTCACCCGCATTCCCACTGCTCCCTCTTTCTCAAAAGCCCCATGCAAGCCCTTTCACCCCCACACCGAGTACACCCACACCGAGTCCTACCTAAGGCAGTACTTCAAAGTCATCTTTACAAATAACATGCTACGTAAAATATGCCCATGTTGTCGCATTTTACACCGCTCTGAATGGAAAAGGCCTTTTCCCATGAAGGCTGGTGTCTGATAAATATTTGCATTGCTCCAGACCATTGTTCTGAAATCTTACAATATAGGATGAATGAAATTTCTGTTCTCATAAACTTACCATTCTATTGGGAGAGGTGACGTGTCAAAACTTGATGTTTTCTTCCTCCTAAGTTTCTTTGTCAGTGAAACAACCCAACAAGTTCAACGCCGGGGCCGTCACAGGGCCGGGGACACACCCTCCCTCTCTGCTCCCCGTGGTGGCTCGCTCTTCCTGTCACACTGCCTCGGCTCCACCCTGCCCACTGCTCGGCTTGCCAACTGCCCATGTGACCCTGCTCGCCAACACCAGCTTCTCCACCCCATCACATTCCCTCGTGGGTACCCATCTTCCCTCCATCCCGTCCCAGCAAGTAAAAGTGCTACTGAACTATATAAGCAGAATGTGAATTTTCCCCATAATTCAGATGGATGCCAAAAATGTTACCAGGAGGAATTAAACACTTTGGCTATGATTTTCATGGTTCTTTCCCATTTTTTCTTGTGCCTATCTCAGTGAACACTTCGGTCAAGTATTCAGAAGAGCACACAGCTGCTATTCAAGCCATCAGTGACCCTCTATAGTTCCAACCCACAGTCCAGCGCCAGGGTGCACACTTCTGATATTTTTCAAATAAAAACCCAGTTTCAGGTCACCACTACAGGGATCCTGTTTGAGAAAGATGGTTTCAGTGGCAAAGTAACCGAGTGTAAGACCTGTGCTGTGTAAGTCTGAGGGTGATATTGTCAGAGGGGCAAAGCTAAGACACGCAGGTGAAGCACCAAGCTCAGCTCCATGGACAGCGAGCGAAGAGGCGTCTAGCCAGAGTCCCAAGGAACCCTGACCTTCACGTCTTCACAAATTCCACCTGGTGTTGGTAAGAACCCCAACTCTTCCATACTGAACACAAATCCAGCACATTCCAAGGTGTTAGCTGGGAGGCTGGGAGCATCAAAACACCCCCCACCCCAGTCACCCAGGACCAGGCCTGCCAGACGACAGCATTGCCTCAGGACATTACCAGGTGACTGCGTAATGTGTACTCACCGCTACTGTTAATCACTGTGAAAACAGGTAGAATTATCCAACAAATTTCAATAACATAAATGATAAATACGGAATACGCTATATTCCCTACTATTATTTAAACATCTTTGGGTTATTTATTTTTTCACTGAGTATAAAAATAAGTACAAAGGTAACTTATGACGTGATAGTCCAATTTTAGATGGTTCCAGACATTTCTACTAATAATTTATCCATTTAAAAATGTGAAATATAAAACGTTGGACTTGATAAAATCTAATTTTCAAATACAGGAATTACTTCTAAAGAGAAATCTTGGAGCAAATATTCAGACAGAAAAACAAATCATTGAATGTGAAAAGCTTAATGATAAAGGTATTAACTTCTAGTCTGAAAATTTATAGTCTATTAGAGAAATAAATTCGCTTCCCATATTTGCGCAACATATTTTCCAGCAAGTTTTCAATATTCCTGTGCATTACAGAATTTGCATTACAAAGAAGCTCTAGAAACAATACTCTGTCATAACTATGGTTACTAAAACCAAAAGGCAATTCAAATTCATAAAGCTTTCATGAAATTCTTCTATATGCAAGGCACCAGGAGCGACTCTAGGTAAACAACGAATCAAAAGCAGATCCATTCTAGTTCCTGAATATTTCAGCAAAGTAGAATAAGCATAAATAAGCAATAAAAGCATATTATGATAAGGGGTGCAATAAAGGTATGTGCACACAGCTGAGCACTGGGAGTGGGTGGCAGAGAGCAGACGCCCATCAGGGAACCCAGCATCCATCAGCAGCAGGAATCCATCACCGAAAAGCGCCCGGAGCAGGTGAGAGCAAAGGAATAAAGAGTCTAGGGAATAAAAGGAGAAATGGAATGCCTCGAGGTTTGCCAAAGCCAAGTACCACAAACTGGGGCAAAGGAGAAACGTTGTCTCGTTCTGGAGACTCGAGTGTTGCGTCCGGCCTTGGCTGCTGGTTTTCCCCCAGGGGTCAGGCCCCTCTGGTCCCATGTGCCTGGGGCGGGGTGGCCCCGGATCCTAGACTCGCATGTCTGCCTCAGTTTCCAGTGGCATCTGTCTCCATAGATGCCACTGCTGTCCTCTGAGGACACCGGGCATCTGGGCGTCTGCACATACAGCCTATCAAATACTATAGGGCCACGTGTGGGACAGGGCTGCTACAGACAACACGCTGGAGAGGTGGGTGGGGAGGGCGCCTTGCGCTGCATTCAAAAACCAGGGCTCCCAGTCCTCTCTTTCTTTGATCCTATATACACCTTTGTTTTCTGTTTGTTTTTAACCAGCCCTGTTTATGCCTGCACAGTACAGGATTTCTCCCTCCTGTCCCACCACTACGGATACCACAGGCAGCCCCACCCTTCACGGCTCTCCCTCCTGTATTTATATAAATGTGTTTGATTGATATTTTGTGTTATTGAAATCAAAATAACAGGGACTAACTTTACTTCTATCGATCTTCTTATACAGTAGTAGAGAATGATATCAACTGACTCATAACCACTGCGAGTGTGAAAAAAAGAGTCACCCAGCCAGGCACCTCACAGTTCTCACAGCTGGTGTCTATGATTAATCTCAAGGGACAGAGACTCCCCCCGCCCCACCCCCCACACACACCCTGAGCATAGACTCTAGGTCAGCACTGGACACCTCTGGGACCCAAGCTTGCGTGAGACCCTCGCGGACCGTATCAGCACACCATTACTTAAAAACCAGCACCTATTTCAGGAGTGCAGGTACCCATGCAACTATTCTTGCAGTGTTCAGAGAAGGCTCTTTAATTTCTAAAGCTCTAACACTGAAAACATCCCGCGATATTAGCAAAGGACCAGAGGTGCCGGGCACAAAGTAAAAGCAGTCTGGGTCCTGGTTCATCAGATTTTATTTCTGTTGGGGACATTCACTCAACATAAAGAGCACCAGCAGAGAAAGCCCGTGACAAACGCTTCTCCAGACACCAGTTGACTCAGCAAGTGTTAGACTCCGCTGGCAAATCGCAGCGGCGGTAAATAATAGGGTTAACTGACGGCCTTTTTCTGCTTCAAAAGTCAGTTGTGCTCATCGGAAGAAAAAAACAACCAAAGTCAGCAGCAATATCATGTTAATAAGCGATTTCCATGTTGTCCAGCATGACTGCTGTTTATCAGCCTGAGCTGCGCGCTGTGCGGGCTGGGCCCTCGTGTGGAGCGCGGGACAGCAGGCAGCAGTGGACAGGGGCCTGCTTTCTGCCGGGCCACATCTGGCCAGCAGTAGCTTCATGCTACAACGCATGAGCATGAGAATAATTCTGAAACCCCGGTTTCCCGGCCCCACTACATCCAGCGAATGAGAACTGTTGGAGGTGGACGCCTGGATTGGGTTTTCTGAGGACACCCGAGAGTGACCTTCCTGTAGCCACGGTGACAATACCTGGGGTCCAGAGCACCCTGTCCTCCCGCAGCAGGAGCTCGAGAGGCCCCGGGGCCGGCTGCTTCGTGA